GTCTTGCTGGCGTGGGGGACGGAAGGGCCCCCGATCCAACCCGACACTGATCGCCGTGTTCCACACCGGTCTCCCACTCCGGCACTGCGATCAACGCACGGGCTTTTAACATTGGTGGCGGGACAGCCTCCCAAACCGGGATAAGTTTGGGTTCGGGTCCCCTACGAACCAACGGGCGGCCAGCGGTACACCGTTTCATCGGGTCTCCCTGGACCCCATGCCAACATAACACGCCTGAATAGAAGGGACGAACTTCACCAAAATACCGGTCCTGAGGTCGCCGAGATCAACAGAATTCGGGAAAGGGGGGCTGGCTTACATGTCTACGACTGGAACACGTCCGAGGACATTTGGCAATCGAATACGACATGATAGTGGTCGCGAGCCAGTCGAGAGCGGTGCCCTCTACCACCATACTAGCATGGGTTACTCGCCTTTTACGAGACGCTTTCCCAGCGGCGGGGGAGAAATGTATTCTAAGCCCGTCTCCCCACGGCCAAAATATAGCAGTTATATGCAAGCAACTATAGCAATATTTATCAAAAAATATAGCTGAGCTATATTTTTTAGCCTCTTAGACTTTTATAATTCAAATTACTTGTCACCCCCCATCTGAGCATCAGAGTGTTCTGTAACGCCTTATTTATCACGTATGAGCTTCAGACCCTTTAAATTATGGAAATAATAAAAATGTCAGCTTTACTTGATGGAATATCTCTCACTGTAATGGTACAAAAATGTTCAAGAGGAAGAAAAAATTACGTCATTTTAACAAAAAAATAACTACTACAAAATATTTATTACAATTTGTTTATATATTAAAAAATAGCAAGTAAATTAATATTACATTTATGATAGGTTTGATTTTTCATATTTATTTACTTATACTTTTACATAAATTTTCATATTTTGTCGACAGTTTTGGCTCAGTTTGTAGTAACCCTACTTGTTGTGCCAGTGGTCGCGGGTTCAAGAGTGAGGTTTTTATATTTATACATATGTACTACATACATTCTTATATATATTTACTTATAAAAGAACTGAATGTTTACAATATGTTTATACTCTATGATTCCTAAATCATTCATGATGAAACTTTGGCGACACGAAGGTTCCTCATGCCCCAAAAAAAAATTCTTTGTATATTTGTCTTCTATGCGATCTAAAGCCATTCATCCCTAAGGACATAACCGAGCCAAGCGTGAAGGCACTAGTATACATAATAAAATCGATGTCGAATATACAATATTATTTTTGTATAATATTTTAACCTAGCATTATCGCGTGTCCACACGACCGTACAATTTAAATAGCATTTTTCTGAGCGACCACCATATAACTGAATATTTAGCTTGCAGTACAGTAAAAATAGTAAAGTTATATTCATTAGATTTATTTCTACCTAGCATGCAAATACACCACAAATAATCTATTATTTTATGATTTAAAAGTTCTAAAAGCTTTTTTCAAACGACTCCAAGTGAACACATTTTAAATAATTTAATAATTAAATTTTATGCAGGCTTTATGTTGGTAATTAATTAGCGAAATGAAATTGTTAATAAAGGTTATTCAATTGTTATTTTTATTGCAGGAAATAGAAAAGGATTAAAATATAATTATATTTTACGTTATTTTAATTAAAACTACTTCATATTACTTTAATACTCGTATATAGTGTGAGAAAGCCAATTATGATGATGATGTTCTCCTAGCCGATTCCGGCTACGGCGGCCAATCTCATTGAGACTGTCCAACTGCGCTGGAGATATTTATTATAGTGCACAAGTGTACGCGCAGACACAAGTGCACTCTCTATTCCTGTCACTCTCATACTCCGGTGGGACGACTGCTCGACACGACCAGTGAGAGTTAAGGCACAGGACCGACGGCTTTACGTGCTCTCCGAGGCACGGGGGTGAAACACCGCCAACTTCGCAGCTCTATTACTGAGACTTACTATACAGAAATACTCAATAACTAACTTGGCCCAACCCGGGACTCGAACCCAGGACCTCCGAGTGTGCAGCCGTACATGCTAGCCACTACACCACCGAGCCAATTATAGAAGTTATAGAATAAAACTATTTATAAATGTTATTATTACGATACTATAAATACAATAATACATAGCGTTCAAAGCTAGAAACTGTTATAATAAAACTTTTATATACATACGTTGATAAACAAAAATACTTTTATGAAACAATTTACAAGGGAAAAGTACTTTTGTCCACATAATTCACATAAAATATGGTTTGAAACTCATGACTATGTACAGTTATTGTAATATTTAGATTAAAAATGGATGGGTTATTTGAAGGGAGTACGAGTGAAGTGGTTTCTGTGAAGTTGGTTCTCATAAATTTGAAACTAAATCATATTTGAATAGTTTTGATGACTATAAGTTTAATTTGTTTGAAATTCTAAACTCGTTTTACTTTGATATCGGAGGTATGTACTTTGGTATAATATAATATGTACTAAACAGGGTAGCACATATGTTTCAATGGTTGTTACTTCAAATATAATAAATGTCACTATACATACACATACTCGCACACGCACATACATACATACATACATACATACATACATACATACATACATACATACATACATACATACATACATACATACATACATACATACATACATACATACATACATACATACATACAAACATACATACGCATATCGGGAAAAAGTAAAGTTGTCAAGTGAATGAATGTTTGTATAAGAATTCCCTTAACACTGAAAAAGTTGGGAAGAGTAATAGAACATTACGTACGCATGGATTGGAACTACTTAAATAATATTAATTGCACTGCACATTAATTTGTAGTATAATTGTAAATATTTTAAATTACTTTCGATATGAAACTTTTTTTTCATGGATAATTATTAGGATTCAATCTATACTCTATACTAATATTATAAAGAGGTAAAGTTTGTGAGTTTGTAACGTTGTAGAGGTAATATCTGGATGTACAGAACCGATTTAGATGAAATTTGGTAAGAAGATAGTTTGAAGCCCTGCAAAGGGTACTGGTACTTTTTATCCCGGAAATCATCCCTTAAGGGGGGTGAAAATGGGGATGAAAGTTTGTATGGGGAATCAAGTTAAAGACGAGCACGAGCGAAGCGAGGGTAAGTCGCTAGTTACTTTATATGCGACGAATTATAAGCCAAATAGACATATGATTAACGCAGATCTTCAACAATAATATTAAAGCCTCAATATTGTCGAAGTATTTATAGGAGAGACAAAGTAAATTACTTACGTAATTAGTACGTTTGATTGGCGAAAGACAATTGAGAATTGTGAGTACTGGACCACTATTGTAGTGTTACACAATCATGTAATATTCACAATACGCGGTTCAGCGAGTAAACATTTCCGGCGAGTGCTAGTGAAATCTGCGATAACTCTTGCTTGGCTGAGCTCTGTTGAATTTCTTGCTTCAACCCGAAGCTTTGGACTGTGAACGTTTATCCGTTACTTGTATATTCAGCTATAAATCTAAATGTAAATATTCTAACATTTTTTTAAAGTCTGAATAATATTTTCCAGATAATATGAAAATTGTTTTTAAGTAGAAAAGAAATCATCGATAGTTAAAAAAACATATACTTATTGATAAAGACGAAGCAAGTGCTAGTAGTATACTAAATTTTTTGTTCAAAAATATTTTTATTTACTGCTTTAGATATACATGCAGGAATGGGGAAGCAATAAGAGGGGTGGTTTGTTAGCAATTATATATTTCAACATTCATCGAGATGTTTAATTAGACAACTGTTGTGAAGCATTGGGGCTTGTGTCACTTGCACATTTAACGGTAGTAAATAAGGGGATAGAGATGTCATTCTGCCATTGTTGAGCTAGAATGACATTCAAAATTAGATTCTCTTAGAGAATACCAGTTTGCTTTGCCTCTTACGGACATTTGTCGTGGATAAAATAGATAAAACGCGATAAATGCGCGAACACAACCCTTTGCAGAATTGCTTCCTCGAAAATAACAAGTTTAGGCAGTGAAACGATGTGTGCATTGTATTTTGTACATAATTTGTTAACGTCGAATATTAATAGCTCAATTTAGATTACCCATAGCTTTGTGGAAATAGCGATAAACGTTTTGAATAATTTGTTTGATCTGTTATATTGTATAATTAATGAGATCGTTTTAGGTAGTAAGTACTATTTATATGAGATAGAATGAGAAAATAGAGGCTTATATGAATATTTCAAGTATAGGTAACCCACATTGCTGCTTATCCGGGTCAACATATAGGACACTTTTTATCGCGGGAAAATATCTCATTTCTAAGAAAAAAATACAAAAACTGCATTGTAAGAGTATACTAATATGTAAAACCTAAGAATTTGGGATTTGGTCATCTGAACGCGGGCGGAGCCGCGGGCAGTGCTAGTTTTATATAAAACACTACTACTATTACCTTCTTCACTATGATATAAAAAGTCAGTACTTAATTATATTATAATTGCCTGTTAAGATTAAACAGACATTATATATAATGAATATATCTACAGCTAAAATATATTTCCCTAGCGGAAATTGAAACTGCAACTTGTAGCGCAGAAGCAGATGGCTTTAGTGTCTTATGCAGTGGAGTGTGTAATGGATATATAAATTGAAAGGTTTTTCTTTTGAATAGTTAGCACTCGTATTACTATACTATGACTACATAAAATCTAGATAAGTAAATTCATTGTACAATTAGTTTTTAGTTTTAAATGTGTAATGTAAAAATAAAATGGGCCAATGTGTTCTTGTTGGTTTGTGTTTGATGGATATATATATTTTTTTAATATTTATTTCATACTTTCTTAGATTTATGTGAATATTTGACATTTTAAATAAAACTCTCTTTTCGGATTTTCTCGTTGATTTATTTTGATTTTTGGTTCCCGACGTTTCGAATGCTTTACAGCTAAATATGTGTATGAACTAAGGTTAATCTGATATACTTACCGTATTCGCGTTGGGCTCAGGTTCGTGGTGGTAAGTGGATAAATGTCTTATAGGACCCGCCATGCCGCCACTACCTACATCACTATTATTTTTTCATTGAAAAATTACTCACTCTGAATTTCAATTATCACATTCTAAGCCTTTAATAGTGAATAAACCATACCATGATAGAACGAATCGTATTGCGCTAGCTAAAGGATTCGAAGTATTAATCTGTTGAAACTATTGAAATATATTTGTTTAGATTTAATGAAATGTGCATAGTATTTGTTTAATAATAATAAATTATAATAATTGGTAAACAGATAAAATTATTATTCTAAGAAGAAGGGTATTGTAAGTAATTTTTAATAATTTTTTTAGAAGAAGAATATTGCAACTAATTTTATAAAGATTTTCAAATAGTTTTGTACCCTTAAAATATTGACTGCATTTGCAGAAACGATAAAATGATGATTAAATACTTTGTTTTTAAAATTTCATAGTAATGGCTACTTCTTTTTTCTGATCTTTATTTTTCAAGTTGAATAGTATTATACGGTATTAAAGCCAAGATGTTAAAAAAATCAAGGCGTCATCCCTTAGAGATACATTATATATAAGTTTGCAAAGAAAAATATTCCCATTGCTACTTTAATATCGTATATTTCATGTTGAAATATGGAGTCTTAAACATAACATAAAATATTAAAACGTGAATTCTGTTTTATATGAAAAGTACATATGAGGACTGTAAAGCCTTTCAGGGCATGGGATATCATTGTACATTTTTAGACTAAAAATTAGATACTTTTAAAAATATTTCTTTAAATATAAATGAGTACTCATAAATATAAGTAGTTGAAAAATGACTGAAGCGTTATAATCCAAAATATTTTAAAGTTCAAAACCATATTATTTAATACTTTTTAATACTTTTTTTTGTTTTTGTACTTTTACAGTCAAGAAACATATAAAATGTAGCATTTTTACTTTTAATAGTCTTGACGAATTATTATTCACAACAATAGTGCCTTATTATACAAACACTATGCACTCGTTAAAAATAACACTTAAAATGAATGACTACTTTTGCTTCATTTGACTCATTATGCAAATAACCTACTGCCTCGTATTGCTTTCTTATAATATTTATAAGAGATTCTCTTTTGTTGAAAATGTGGGAACTTTTGTTATACATAAAAACAGGTGATTAATAATAATATTATGGCAATAATTAAAAGTATGCCAGAGAAAAATCTGAGTATATGTATAGCTGAGACTGCTAAATAATTTAAACGAAGTAATTCTCACACAAAGAATCGTTAAAGTTCCTACACACATAAACAACAATGAAAACGCATTTAATTATCTTCATAATCTATCTTGAACAGTTTTAAAATAAAGTATACTTTTATTTTTCATAATAATAATTAGTTTTATACAAACTACTCCCCTCCCATAAATTAAATAAAAAGTTCTATTTCTTTCTTTTACAAAAATTCAATAGTTAATTTATTTAAATAAAAAATATACTAAAAAATTGTAGTTATAGAAGAAATTCATTTAAAAATAATTCATAAAGTGTCACGCCTACGTAAATGTATCCTGCAAATATTTGTAGAGAACACTACGCGTAGAGCCATGTGCTCTTGGCACTCGTAGCGCTCGTATCGGGAGCGCTCGTAGCTCGTGCTACACGGCTGGCGTAGCGGCCGCCAGCGCCCGACTGCCACCCGACTGCCGCAGCCCGCCCGCGCAATGGCCGTAATGATTGACAAAATACTTCACCTGTGTTTTCTTAGAATAAAAATGTAAACAGGTGGCGGGAAACGTGTAAATGGAAACGTGATCAAACAATTGATTTGGTATCGATAGTAATTTGATTTAATTTTTTTATTAATTGAGAATATAATATTTTTTTTAATAATGAATTTGCCGCAGTGAGATATATACTCGTATTCTTAAAAAAATATGTATAAACTCAAAACTATTTGTAAAGTTTGATAGCTCACGAATTAAAGCTTAGTAATACTTTTGAGATAAAAATATTTAATTATTCTTATTTAGGTAGGTATGTAATATTAATAGATGCGAATGTGTAAGGAAGTAACAGATGGTTTGCATAGAGATAATTTATGAGGCGACAATATTTTAAACTGGTGCCAAAAATTAAGTGGTTTTTATGGATTTTTAACAAAAACTTAGTATTGCTTAGGTCTCTTATGGGCCAAGGGTATGTTAATAGTACGAGTAATTCGTAACTAGAGATATCAATAAATATTAAAACAAGTAATTTAAAGTTAACATACTTCGAACATATTAAAAAGTCAAGCACAGACAGTAAATGGAGAGTTTTAACAGCATTTTACAAATAATGTTGTTAAAAGTTTTCTTTGTAATTGATATTGACGCGAGCATTAAAATTTCAGCGCAACCTGTTGGAGTCTAAACAAATATATGTTAGATATATTGTATTGGAAGTTGTGCGATATATACTTAATGAATGTTTCATTATTTTTATACAGGTTTTAAGAATGTTAAATTTAATTTTGAATAGAAAATATATAGAGCGTAGGCGATTGTGAATTTATATTTAACTTTTTATAATATATACTGAGTTAATATTTGTTTAAATGTTACTTACAGTAAAAGCTTTTAGCATATAAATTATTTATTTAATATTTTTTACTCTTTATATTTAATGTTCAGCATATTTAACTATCGTGTGTGTTAATTAATAATGTATTTAAAATATTTTTTGATTTAAGTATTCATATAAGGATATGAAAGAACGTATATAGATAATAATGAACTATTTAAACTGGCTCTACGATTGGTTTTTAAGTTATTTCTACATTTTTGAATTTTATTTTAGTAAAAAAAAACACATATATAAACGTATTTTAAATATTGTAGGTAGTATAAACTATGTTGCAATATCTATTAGATACTCATAAAATTTCATTGACACAATTGACTATGAAAATTGTTTGCCCAAAATCTCGTGGTAAATTGGACAGGTTCGTTATTTGCATTTTGATTGGCAACTTATATACAGTTCTAAATATGTTCATGGAAGTAAGCACTATGACGAACAATAATTATCCATTTATTACAATGTACCTATGTATTTAAATATATACTGTTAGTAGCTTTACCAGCGTTTTCTTATTATATATTTATCTTTTTTACTTTGATTCTGTTTAAACTCGAAAATCACGATAATACTATAATCCCATAAATATTATAATAAATGCCATTGTTTGGATGGATGTTTGTTACTCAATCACGCCAGAACAGCTGAGCGGATCTGGGTGAAATTTGGCACAGAAATAAATTATAGTCTGGAATAGCACATAAGTTACTTTTTATCCCGGAAAAATGTACAGTTTCCATGAGAGAGATTTGTTATTGTGTCTCACTAGGGATAAACTCGAGCAAAGCGAGGATGTGTAACTAGTTTTAAATATGTTTATATCGTATATTAAAAATAGTTTACATATTAACGATATGACGAGACGTTTGGCTCAGTTGGTAGTGACCCTACTTGCTGTGCCAGCGGTCATTCATTAGTGTGACGAGCACGAATGTTTGTACTCCAGTCATGGGTAGTTTATATTTATAATATGTATGTACTTAAAGTTATATATGCGTAGTGTTTCAACTATCTGGTATCCATAACACAAGCCTCGTAGCTTACCATGGTACTAGATGTCACTGTATGTTAATGTCCCATAATTTATTACTATATTATATTATTATTATATTATATTATTATTATATTAAATGTTCATATAGAAATATGGATCCTACTCTTAAAACAGCTTTGGGTGTATCAGTCATATGCCTGAATGAACTATACATGACAGTTTTTGATCGATGCTGAAACGTAAATGCAACCACTCAATACGCCACGACTACGTACCTACATACAGGCAGAAAAAGAAACAGTGGTGAGTGAAAACATAAGCTATATAATGTTTTATTCAGTTATGAAAAGATTTAAATCTATTAAATATTCTACGTTTAGTAAAAACTAAATTTGTTTTTACATTACAATATAGAAAAAGTCTTAAAAAAGAAATATTTGTTGTATAACTATAACGTATGTAGGGTTTATTAAAATAACTTAATAAACATTTAGAATTAAATATTATCTAGATTATTGAAGCAAGTAATCAGCATTGCAGTTCATATTGATTATCGATTACATTCTACATGAGTGGGCGTTGTGATAGCCAAGAGAGCATCTTAGTAACATAAGCATCTTGTCATTTTTCTAAATAACTATATTAATTTGTATATTATGTATGGAAAATGTTTTAGGAATTATGTTTAACATAGACAATTAAAAAAAAACTTTTACGTTTTTATTTTCTAGAATTCCCTAAATTCATATCGTTTTATATTATACTATCACTGCCCGCGGCTCCGCCCGCGTTCAGATGACCAAAAACCAAATTCTTAGATTTTACATATGAGTATACTCTTACATTGCAGTTTTTGTATTTTTTCTCAGAAATGAGACATTTTCCCGCAGTAAAAAGTATCTTATATGTTGACCCGGATAACCAGCTATCACCATACCAAATTTCATCAAAATCCTTCCTGTGGGTTTTCCGTGATGCGGTAACAGACAGACAGACAGACAAAAATTCTAAAAAACTATAGATTCGTTCTCTGTATCTATAATAATGTCTATTGCAGTACGATTTTCCAAAAAATAGTTAATGTACAGATTCGGCTTAGTTACAATTTTATTATATGTATAGATTTAATTTAATATTGTGAATATATTGTATTCGTAATTCGTAATATTAAATATATTTATAATTTATATCATACAATATTTTTTAAACTTAAAGTGACGTGAAGAAAACTTATCTATACTTATATTAGGAGAAGAAATGTGTCTGTTCGTTTGTTTGTAATTAATAAGCTCTGGCACTTAAGATTCGATTTTAATTTTAATTTTTTTCTGCATAATTGAACGCCATTATGCTTTAAGACTATACTTTATTATAATTATGATAAGTTTTTAGATTTAAATGTCAACTCAAAATGAGATGAGAAGCCCTAAG